AAGTGTGAAGACACAGAGCCACATACTGTACTGAGACATTAGATATTCTATCTTATAGGCTTTACAAAGAGCTAAGAGTGCCCAGGTTATTGTAGCATCAACACTGAGCAAAGAGAACAAACTCAGTGTGGTGATCTCTGACAGTTAGGGATTCATACTTGTTTGATGTCTTATAGCTGAAATGCCCTGCACAGGAAGGAAGTGCTCACCCACTGGTCTTCAGGAGCTCTGTAGGTGGGAGGGAGGATTTCAGGACAATATTTACAGTGACCTTTTCCTCTAACTGGCCAGAGGCCCATGGGAAAAAACTGGAGAAGACAAACAATGAACAATAGGTTTCAGGGATGAGCAATGGTGCCAGCTCAGCATGTGCCATTATGGGATGTGGATTACAGAGGAATGGGGAGTTACAGAAAAGATGATGGCATCAGCAGTGTCCCTCAGAAGCACACCTGGGGCACCTGCTCAGAAAGTCTGTGCTATTTAAAAATGCAATCACATGTTCCTCAGTAAATGAAAATACTATCAGTATAACAGTTAAAACAGTTCAGCGTAAAGTGTAATAAGTGTATTTCTCTTTTGCAGATAAGTTAGATGAGAGGAACAACCCCACTGTATTTTATCTATGGTAAAAATAAAGCTCCAACCAGCCACTGGTTGGCCTTATTAGTGTAACCACTGGACATAGGGAAACAGTGCAGCACTTGATGGATTAAACAAACAAACAAACATGTTTATTACTGAGCTTTATTGAAGCAAGTAGGTGAATATTGTTACTTTTGTATCAAACCAGGTGAGCTGTTTCCCCATTTCCAGTCTTTATGCTAAGCTAAGATAAACAGCTCTAAGTCAAAGTCAAAATTTTGGCAAGAATCATGTTGAAATAACTCCTTAAAATGCTCTTCTTGTGTGGTTTATGCTTCTCTGTCATGTAAAATATTAAAACTAGCCTTAAATAAATATTAAAATACACATCAGAAATATATTCCCCATAGTACATGATATTATCTCAAACCTTGACACGTAAAATGCACCAAATTGGTTACTGATTTACTAGTTAGTGTGATATGCCACCAGTGTTCTCATTCACTGGCAGAGCCTGTACCACTAAGACTAAAATCAAAATCTTCCAGCATCATTGCTTTAAGTTGATGTTTATGTGGGCAAACAGCCCCTGTGCTGCATCAGCATCTGTGCAAAGTCCCAAGTCACTGTTTGATCCTTCAGTTATCAGATTACCATGTCTAATTGGGCAATATGGCTTCCCTGGGGATTGGGCCTTGCCTTATCACAGAAATATTTTCTGCCCTGCACAATTTGGTGAATGTAATGCTATCAGTATTATAGTATGTGCCTGGGTGGTCCCTGCTGCATTTCTAATGATGCTGTGCCTTTCCCAGAACTAGTGGAAATACCTCAGTGATGCACCATGAAAAGACAGAGGAGCGAAAAAGCAAAGCTCCCACTGGGCTTGAGAATTCTCACACAAGGACATCCAACATGTGTACACAGCACGCTTCAAGACTGCACAGAAGAAACTGTTGATTAGATGTATATATGTGTGTGTGTGTGT